TTTTACAAACGCCCCATTGTAAATATGCTGTTTAGTTTCATCATCAGGCCGATATAATGTAAGGTTAAACACACATTGGTACTCATTAATTAGAATAGTAATATGCACTATTAATTACATATTCTTGTGTAACGTGTTATTTGTCAATCTTAATCTTAAGTTATGAGAGTGGGTTTGGGCTCTCGTGAGGAATGACGTCAGCGTAAGCAACTTACTTAACAGTACGTATAATCATAGCAATGACCGTTGTAATAGTATAATTACCCAGCTAGCATAAAACATCCGCTAGGTACATTACAAACTGGCAGTGTTCAGGTCGTGAAGTCCCCACCATTTTGATAATTTTGGTATTTCTTGAAAATTTGGAGACATTTCTAAGCAACAATAATACTCAGGGCATTTATCAAATTCATACAGGAAACTATATAATGATATGACTCTATAACAAAGAAATAATTCAAGTTTGGGTTTGTTCCACGTACCAAAACTATCCATTGTTTAATTAAGTCCCACAAAAATACATGCTATGTAAAAAAAAACTTTAAAAAAAGACGGGTGACGAGTTTATTCCGCGCCACACACTCTAAAGCCTGCGCACAATAGCGGCTGGTATTTGCTGGCGCTCATCAGCCACGCGTGCTGATGGCCGCAGCACAAAAACACACCGTTGCGCGCGCAAACACACGCGCGCGAGCGATTTCTTGCGGTGGAAAAGATCAGCACTGTTTGATATTTTCTTCCACGTGTGGCAGATTCCACAGCGTGCGTGCGGTTGTGCCTGCTGCAAGTGCCACACCCGGCTCTAATCTAAGCCGACCAAATAGCTAGGCAGGTCAAGCACGAGTCACCGTGATCTTTTACTACTTGTCGGGTTGGCATGCTGCGGTTGCATCTGCGTAACACGCCAAGTACCGACGCAGGAGAATCGACGGCACGTACACGCCGGGTATAACCACGTACACGCGGGGTACACGTAGCACGTGCACGCGGTACACGCTACGTACACGGCGGTACATCGCACGTACACCAGCGGTACACGCGGGTACACGCGTGATACGACTGCTTACGTACACGCACGTTATACACGCAAGCGTACGACGCGGTACACGCACGTACTACGCAGAGTACACGCAACGTACACACAGATACACGCTACGTACACGCGGTACACGCACTGTGCGCGCTGGGGTATCACGCAGCGTACACGCGGTGCCGCGCGAAATACACGCACGGTCACAGCATTAACCGATACACGACTAACACGGCGGATACACGCACGTACACGCGGTACTACGGCACGTAGCGACCGGGTAACGGAGATACAACGCTACGTACACGCGGTACACGGCAGCGTACACGCGGTGCACATGCACGTACACGCAGATTACCGCACGTACATCGCGGGTAACAAGCGCGGATACAACGCACGTAGCACGCCGGTACACCGCACGTACAGCGGGTTACTACGGCGGGATACAGGTCGCAACTACACGCACGTACACGCGGTTGTACACGCAACGTACTACGCAGATAGCACACACGTACAACAGATACACGCACGTACACCACGTGGCGCAGCGTACATCGCACGTATATCGCGGGTGGCACGCGGATACACGCAGGTACACGCACTACACGCGGATTACACGCAGGCACGTACACGCGGGTAACACGCGGAGTACACTGCACGTACACGCGGTACACGCACGTACACGCGGTACCGGAGACATACACGCAACGTACACCGGGTACAGCGCAACGTGGCACGCACGTGCCGCGGTACCGCACGTACAGCGCACGTACACACAGATACACGCACTACACGCGGTACCCGGCCGTGTACGTGCGTGTATCTCCGTGTACCGCGCGTGTACGTGCGTGTGACCCGCGGCAGCGTGCGTGCACGTGCGTGTACCGCGTGTACGTGCGTGTATCTGTGTGTACGTGCGTGTAATCTGGGCGTGTAAACCGTGCGTGTACCCGCGTAGTACGTGCGTGTACCCGCGTGTACGTGCGTGTATCTCCGTGTACCCGCGTGTACAGTTGTGCGTGTACGCCGCGTGCAACGGTGTGTGTACCCGCGTGTACGGCGTGTATTCTGCTGTGTACGTGCTGGTACTCTCGCGTGTATCGTGCGTGTATCCCGCGTGGTACCGCGTGTACGTGCGTGTAACTTTGCGTGTACACCGCGTGTACATTGCGTGTATCTGTGTGACGTTGCGTGTACCCGCAGTGTTACTGCTGCGTGTATCACGCGTGTACCCGCGTGGTACGGGTGCGTGTATCCGCGTGTAACCCGCGTGTACGTGCTGTACGTGCGTGGTAGTCCGCGGTGCTACTTCGCGTGTACGTGCGTGTACGGTGCGTTGTACTGCGTGTACGCGCGTGTACGTGCCCGCGTGTACGTGCGTGTATCTCGTGTGTACATCGTGGTACCGCGCGTGACGTGCGTGTATCCGCGTGTACTGTGCGTGTACGGTGCGTGTATCCGCGTGTACCCGCGTGTTACGTGCGGTGTACGTGCGTGTACGTGCGGTAAACGTGTCGTGTACGTGCGTGTTACTGGCGTGTAGCCCGCGTGTACGTGCGTGTACCCGCTGTGGCACGTGGCTGTACCGAGCGTGTACGTGCGTATACCCGCGTGTACGTGCGTGTACTGTGCGTGTTACGTGCGTGTACCGGCAGTGACCAACCCGGCGGCTGCAATCCGAAGTTAAGATCACGTGACTCGCCTGACTCTGTCTGCTAATTGGTCGGTTTAACATAGAGCCGGTTGAGGGGGAGGGGGGGGGGGGGGGGGGGGGGGGTGGAACTTGACACAGGCACACCGCACAGCGCTGTGGAATCTGCGCCACGTGGAAGGAAAATATCAACACGGTGTGATATTTCCAACACGCAAGAAATCGCTGTTGCACGCGCACAACCGGTGTGTTTTGGTGCTGCCGCCATCAGTCCACGCGTGTCCGATGGCGCAGCAACAAAACACACCCGTGTGCGCAAGCCTTTAATCTATATTGTACCATTACAAACTAATTTGTCTGCTGTAATGGATTGCTACGCTGTTTCTGCTGAAAGAAAAGTACATTGAAAGCATTGGTTGTAAAATGACTGTTATTAGCTTGGAAGCCATATGAAATAAACAACCTTCAGATCTCAAGATGAATATATACATACCTATTTTAATGTGCGGGCGGTAGGTTGTTTGTTTGTTTTTTTTATCACCTTGTTGCTATATTAACATTAATTAGGTGGGCAGATGCTACTTCACATTTATTAGAGAACTGAAAGGCCATGGTATGGACAGATTTTGCTTGAAATAGTAAATCCATGGATATTGGAAAGAATATTGATAACTGCCTGAAAATAATACGTTTTTGAAACACTGTAGCCCTACATGTACATTGGTCTACATTAATTACATCATTGGATGAAATAATTTTGTATGAAAAGTAATGCATATAGTTTTGAAAGGCTAATAAGTCCAGCCAACATATATGAATTGTTTTTCACGTTGAATTAAGAAAGAGTAAAAAAGTAATGATCAGTTAAATCAAATCACATATTGAATAGGGTAGCCATATGTTGGTTTGGTTGTACATATTGGTATGCTATCTTTACTGTCTATGCTCTAGTACTGATAGGCCGCGGGAGCTATCTTTACTCCGTGCGACAGAGCGAAGGCTACTCGTACGAAGTACGTATCCCGTACGGATGTTAGTTTAAGTGGTTAGCGAGACGTCTTACGAGAGCCAAACGCCTCTCATAACTTAAATTAAAATGAAAAATAACACAGTTACACCCAAAGAATTGTAAATTATAGTGATATTATAATCTATATTAATGAGTTAAAAGTGTGTTTTAAAGCTTCACTTATATATCGCCTGACTGATGAAGCTAAAACAAATATTTTACAAAATGGCGTTTTGTTCTCGTTGTTTGAAGGTCGATTGGCGTCAGAGGCAAATCAAAAGCATGCCAATCAGTAGGAACGCCTGTTGCCATGTGCGGGACGGAAAAAATAGCACGCAAACTCGGCCAGGCCGAGCCGTCTACATAGTACACGTTTGAAACATAGTCTAGCGGATCAAGGGCCATTCTACATGAATTCACTTAGAAGGTGCCACATGCGGGATTCACACCGGGTTTTCTACAGGATTCAAATACCGATCGAAGCCATTCTATTGCCCGTAGCAACGTGCCTCAACGTTTTCTTACGATTACGACCGCGTTTGAAAGCATAGTCTAACGATTATGAAGCGCATTCTACCACGATTCAGCAGTACAGGTTTCGACACGGGATTCGACTGCATGCCTGGAGAAGAACGACGTGCATGTCGACGTATATAACCACCTGCCCGGTTGACGTCGCCCGCTGCACCCCCCACTCTCGTCTCGCCCCTGTCGATGTGTCCTGCGCCGGTCGCTGTCATCAGATCCAGCATTTTGGACCATTCCTACGATGATGGATTCATGGTTCGACTGCTGTGCTGATGAATTGTCGCTCCATTGGCCTGTATACAAGGTAAGACTCAGCGTATTGCCCATATAATTCTGCTATGAAGTGAACCAGGGCCCGTTGTCAGAAACGATCGTATAACCGCGCAACGATCGCGTTCACTTGCGCCATCGATTATCTGCATAACGATACGAATATATCCGTCACCTTCGTTTTGGAAAGTTTTAATAGCATTGATTTTCATGGATAATTTCTTGTAATATCGCCTTACGATAATATTGATGCCTCTGTAGCTTATAATTGATGACATTATGTAAGATACATATGCACTGGCAAATATAAAATATACGCACGCACGCACACGCACACCGCAGTGACACACCCTCGACCGCACACGCACACGCAGCACACAAACACCCACGCACACGCACATACGCGCATGCACGCACAACGCCACACACAGAAACACGCATCGACGCAACGACGCACGTTACATGCCCACACGCACATGCGTGCGGCCGTGACAGGCGCAGGGACAGACACTGCACACGCACACGCAACAAGTCATCGCGACAGCGCACTCGGCGCACACAGTGACCACATACACCCACACGCAACACGCACAGGCGCACACACGACGCACAGGCACAAGGACACACAAACACGCACTCGCAGGGCGCACCGGCCTCGGCTGAATGGCCCGGTAGCGAACGTGCCCCCAGCATGAGTCTATGAACATATGCCAGCCCTCTTCGACTCCTCCTTCGGGCCTGCTACCCTCTCATGTCCTTCCATTCTCGCTACCATCTTTCTTCTCCTTAGAGAGCAGAAGAGAAGAGAGAGAGAGAGGGGGGGATGATGCCAAGACAGACAGACAGAGAATACACATCCGCCGGATGACATCGTATATGCATACATCGTCCTTGGACGTAGCTACATGTGAAAGTTCTGGTTTATGCGTGTTACACGCAAATTTATATATCTTGTAGATACAGCGCCAAATAGTCGCCGCCATTTTTTGATGTCGTATTAGTACTAACTACTGCAGCTGAGCTATGGATCTTTCTTCTGCGGAGTGATTGAGCATCTTTTTTTAGCGAAATAAATGCTTTTGGCTGGGTCTATCTTTGTGGAGGACAGTAGGCTGGGTGTATGTGTATGTATATTAAATTTTGTGTGTTTGTGTGTGCGAGAGGGTGAGTGAGCGTGCGCGTGCGTGCGTGCGTGCTTGCGTGCGTGTATGGGTGTATGTGTATGTATATTAAATTTTGTGTGTTTGTGTGTGCGAGAGGGTGAGTGAGCGTGCGCGTGCGTGCGTGCATTCACGTGCCCGCGTGTGTGAGTGTGGGTGTGACAACACTTCCTGGTGTCTACTTACAAGAACGCCATGAAATTTGGTAGGATATTCTATATAATGTTTCCCGACATCGCGCGTTTTCTAGTTCATGCGTATGCAATAGGTAACGGAAAAAAAATATGACAGGGAAAATAATACTGGTATATTTTCCGAATTAAGAAACATGGTGAACAGCCCAAAATCGAAAATGCAAACGTAAAACTCTAGACCTCTAGTGCACTAGGGACAAAACTATTACGCGCAACCATCATGATCATCATGATCATGATCATCATCATCATCATGATCATCATCATCATGATCATCATCATCATCATGATCATCATCATCATGATCATCATCATCATCATCATCACTATTACTATCAGCAGGAGTGAATAATAGAGAATAATATAATCTCTATTATTCACTCCTGCTATCATTATATCTCATGAAATTTGATTCGGTGAAATAGCGATATTGGCGATTACAAACGCGGTCGAACTGTTGAATATCGAAAATAAACACACCGCTCATAGCACTATTTACAAAATTCGAGCTACTTAATGTCAGTCAAACAATGATATTTTAAACAGAGAAGTATCCCACGCAGTAAGTATACGGCATAGCCACTTATAGGCGCGGACGCACGGGTTTTGTTAGTGTGCAGGATCGCCTGGGAGGGATCAGCTGGGCCAAACAGCTGGGTTAATTAAACACGAACCGCAAACAGCCACTATACACGGCACAAACGTCTTCATTTGAAATCTACGAGCCAGCGAATCTTCCAGTTGTGCCCAACCAGTAATCATGAACGTAAAACTTGAGCAGCAGATTACCGAAGGTATTATTAAAAAGGTACGCGTCTTGAGGTTTTATATCACCCTTGTTAACTCCAACCGGCACCTTCCTGAAACGGCCATCCACCCACATGTTGTAAGCGTACGTCTCACTGAGATCAACGAACCCCTCGAAGATGTATCCACCAGTGTCGCGCCAGATATTTGGATCGACATACAACAGCTGCCTCCTGAAACATAACCAACCGCGTTCAGCAGAGGTATGTGTAACATTAAAACGTATGTAGCCTTTACGCGTACCAGATACCTCTACTTCCGATTGCGTTAGTATTCGTTTCCGTCCCCGTGGATTATGTGCGGGCGTACTGCATGGTCTGCCATAGAGCAAGGTAATCTATATACACAGAGTCACGGGGTGATTCGAATAGTCATGTTCGTAATAATAGATGAAGAGAGGTAATTAGGAAAAGCAGGATAGGAGGATGGTGGTGATGATAAGGAGAAGAAAGATGGTGAGGAGAATGGAAGGAATGAGAGGTAGACAGGCGAAGGAGGGTGAAGAGGGTGCATATGTTCTAGACTCATGTGGGGCACGTTGCTACGGACCATAGCCGAGGCCGGTGCGCGCGAGTGCGTGTTTGTGTGTCCTTGTGTGTGCGTGTGTGTGCGTGTGCGTGTGCGTGTGAATGTGTCACTGTGTGCGCGAGTGCGTGTGCGTGTGCGTGTGCGTGTGAGTGTGTCCCTGTGTGTACGTGTGCGTGTGCATGTAAGTGCGTGTGCGTGTGCGTGTGCGTGTGCGTGTGCGTGCATGCGCGTGTGCGTGTGCGTGCGTGTTTGTGTGTGCGTGTGCGTGTGCGTCCGAGTGTGTCACTGCGGGTGCGTGTGCGTGCGTGCGTATATTTTATATTTGCAGTGCATATGTATCTTACATAATGTCATAATTATAGCTACAGAAAGGCTATCAATATACTCGTAAGGCATATTACAAGAAATTTCATGAAAATAATGTATTAAAACTTCCAAACGAAGTGACGGATAATTCGTATCGTTATGCAGTAATCTATGGCCGCAAGTGACGCGATCGTGCGCGGTTTACGATGTTTCTGACAACGGGCCCCTGGTCATTATAGCAGATTATATGGTCAATACGTGACGTTTACTTTGTATACAGGCCAATGCGAGCGACTTCATCAGCACACAGTCGAGACATGATCCATCATCGTAGAATGGTTCCAAAATGCATGATATGATGAGCGACCGGCGCAGGACACACGGGGGAGCGAGACGAGATGTGGGGGGGGGGCGTGCATACCCCTGCCAGATGGTTTATATACGCGTCGGACTGGCCGGTCGTCTTTCTTCAGGCATTGCCAGGCTGAATCCCGTGTTCGAAACCTGTATGTGAATCGGAGATGGGGCTTCGATCCGTAGCATGTCAAAACGGCCACACGGTAAGAAAGTGGGGGCACGTTTGCTACGGGCCAATAGCAATGGCTTCGATCGTATTTTTAATCCGTGTAGAAACCCGTCGTGAATCCCGTGTTTGGAAACCTTATGTGAATTCATGTAGAATGCTCGATCCGTAGACTATGTTTCAAACGTGTTACTATTGTAGACGCTCGCCTGCGCCGGTTTAGAGTTACGGCGTAAGCAACAGCACAGAGCTGGCTTATCACGTTCACGCACGGCCGTGGCGAAGCACGTGTCGGTGATTGGCGCTTGCCGTAGGCCGTGGTCTCAGACAGAAAACGTTAAAATTCCGTTTTGACGGCTTTATAGACGCGCGCACATTACCCAAACAATCTTTGTGGGGGCATTTCGAGCCGTGCCCACAGCTCGTGGCTACTCAAAACCTCGTGCCTATGAACAGAACCTCTCAGTTTCGACGATTCCAGCATCGTATCCCCGTATTACCCTAAAGCGGATCGATAAAAGTATTCAGATAGTGCAGGTTAGTTGTATTGAGCGGCGCTATGCGCGTTTTCGTGCTGATGCCACGGAGGAGGGCGGGTGTGCTATACGCCGCGCCGCGTCTATTTCCGATACCGTGCCCAAATGCGCAAAGGGTTCCTCTGCATGGCTGCTTTGATGTTGCTCTGACGCCCGATAAACCTTCAAAACAAGAGAACAAACGCCCACTTTGTAAAAATATTTGTTTTTAGATTCATCATCGGCGATTAGTTAAGTTAAGTTTAAAACACACATTTTACTCATTAAATATAGATATATAATATCACTATAATTACAATTCTTTGTGTAACTGTGTTATTTTCATCTTAATCTAAGTTATGAGAGGGTTTGGGGGCTGCGCCTTTTGTTCATTAATCGTAAGACGTCTCGCTAAACACTTACTACATACGTAGGTATGACGTATTCGTTCCGAGTGCCCTATTCGCTCTGTCGCAGGAGCTAAAGCTGCTCCGCGGCCTATAGTTACTACGAGCTTAGAGTTAAAGATAGAATACAATAATGTTAAACCCAACAACAATGCATAAACCCTATTCAAATATGTGATTTGATAACTGATCCATTAAATTTTTTACCCTCTTCATTAATTCAAGTGATAACAAATTCACTATATTCGTTGTGACATTATAGCCTTCAAAACTTATATGCATACTTTTCATACAAAATTATTTCATCCACTGATGTAATTAATGTAGACCAATGTACATGTAGGCCTACGCTGTTTGTCAAAAACGTATTATTTCAGGACAGTTATCACATATATCTTTCAATATCCATGGATTACTATTTCAGCAAAATCTGATCCATACCAAATTGGCGCTCTTTCAGCTTCTCTAAATAATATGTGAAGTAGAGATCTGCACCATAATTGTTAATGTTAATTAGAAACAAGGTGATAAAAAACACAACAAACAATACCGCACATTAGAAATAGGGGTTTGTATTATTCATCTTGGCATCTGACAAGGTGTTATTTCATATGATTCCCTAAGTAATAAAGTCATTTTTACAACCAATGTCATGATACTTGCTTTAAGAACAGGGTAGCAATACATTACAGCAGACAAACTTAGTGTTTGTATGTTACATATGATTAAGCCTTGCGCGCCACACGGCTGTGTTTTTGTGCTGCGCCATCGCCACGCCGTGGCTGATGGCGCCCAGCAGCACAAAAACATCACCGTGTGCGGCGTGCAAACACAAGCGATTTTCTTGCGTGTGGAAAAATATCACACGTGTTTGATTATTTTCTTCCACGTGATGGCAGATTCCACAGCGTGTGCGCGGCTGTGCCTGTGTCAAGTTCCACACCGCGCTCTATGTAACGACCAATAGCAGCAGCGTCAAGCGAGTCACGTGATCTTAACTTGCGCGTTGCAGCGCGCTGGTTGCCTGCGGTACACGCAACGCTTACCACGCAGATTACACGCACGCTACAGCGGGCTATAACGCACGTACACGCTGTACACGCACGCTGCCACGCGCGGTTTACACGCACGTACTACGCGGGGTACACGCAGTACACGCACGTACACGCACGTACACGCACGTTACACGCACGTACACGCCACGTACACGACGTACACGCGGAACACCGCACGTACACGCACGTACACGCGGATACACGCATCGTACCCGCTGGTACACGCCATGTACACACAGATACACGCCGTTACCACCGCGCGTACACGCGCTCTACACGCCCAGTGGTACACGCACGTACACGCACGTACACTGCGAGGTGCACTTCGGGATACACGCACGACACGCACGATACACGCGGCGTACACGCGGAATACACGCACGTACACGCGCGGTACCACGCGGATACACGCACGTCACGCGGGTACACGCACGTACACACAGATACACGCCATGTACACGCGGGTACACGACCACGTTTACACGCACGTACACGCGGGTACCCGCACGTACCACACAGATACACGCACCGTAACACGCGCGGTACACACACGATGCACGCGGGTACCACGCCCACAACGTACACGCGCGTGCCTGCACTCGCTGTACTGCGGTCTTCAACGTGCGCTTAATTGAACCTACTATCGGCACAGTACACGGCGGCGTTGTCTCGTACCACCGCTGACATTCGGTCGTGGTCGGGTACACGCACGCTAACACGCAGATTACACGCACGTACACACAGATACACGCACGTACACGCGGGTACACGCACGTGCCTTCACGGTTGCCACCGCCGCGCGCTACACGCGACCGTGACACCAGCGGGTTACACGGAGCCTACCAGCGACGTACACGCGGCGTACCGCGCTGTAGATGCGCCATGTATTCTGTGTGTACGTGCGTGTACGTGCGTGTACCGCGGCCGTTGCGTGCACGTGCGTGTACCGCGTTGTCGTGCGGATCTCCGTGCTACCCGCGTCGTACGTTGCGTGTACCCTGCGTGTACGTTGCGTGTATCGCGGGTGTACCCGCGTGTACGTGCGTGTATCCGCGTGTACGCCATGCGTGTACTTGCGTGTATCCGCGTGCACCGGTTACGTGCGTGCTACCCGCGCGCACGTGTCCCTGTGTACGTGCGTGTATCTGTGGTGTACGTGCCGTGTATCTGCGTGTACGTGCGGTGTACCCCGCGATGGTAAGTGCGTGTACCGTGCGTGTATCCGCGTAGTACCCGCATGTACGTTGCGATGTTACCCGCCGTGCTACGTTGGTGTATCCGCGTGTACCCGGTGTACTGTGCGTGTATCTGGCGTGTTACTAGTGCACCCCGCGTGCCCTGTAACGTTGCGCTGTACCGCGTGTACGTTGCCGTGTATCTCCGTGTACCGCGTGTCAACGTGCGTGTACACCGCCGTGTACAGTGGCGTGTTATCGCGTGTACTGTGCGTGTATCGCGTGCATACGTTGCGATGTAACGTTTTGCGCTGTATCCGCGCTGCACGCGATGTACGTGGCGCGGATTAGTACCCGCGCGCACGTGCGTGTACCGCGTGTTTTACCGTGCGTGTTTCTGTGTGTTACGTGCGTGTTATTCTTGCTGTGTACGTGCGTGTACCCGCGTGCTACGTTGCCGTGTACGTGCCGGTGTTGTACGTACGTGTATCGCGTGTACCGCGTGTACCCGCGTGTACGGTGCGTGTACGTGCGTGTACCCGCGTGTACGTGCGATGTACCGCGTGCACGTGCTGTACCCGCGCTGTTATCGTGCGTATACCCGCTGTGTACGTGCGTGATCTGCAGTGTACGTGCGTGTACCGCAGGTGCAACGCCGCTGCAACGCAAGGCTTAAGAATCTCACGTGACTCGCTTGACCTGCTGCTATTGGTCGGTTACCATAGAGACGTGTGGAACTTGACACAGGCCACCGCCACCACGCCTGTGAATCTGCCCACACGTGGAAGAAAATATCAAACACGTGTTGTATTTTCCACACGCAAGAAAGTTCGCTGTGTTTTGCACGCCGCACAAAAGCGTGTGTTATGTGCTGCGCCAATATCAGCCGCGTGTGCTGATTGGCGCCAGCAACAAAAACACACCGTTGCTGCGGGCAGCGCCTTAGATTTTCGAACTAAACTGTCACCCGTTATTATTTACATTTTTTTTTTACATACATGTATTTTTGTGGGACTTAATTAAAGCCAATTGGATGTTTTGAGTACGTTGGAAAAAACCCAAGTTTGAATTAATTCTGTGTTATAGAGTCATAATCTTATATAGTTCTGTATGAATTCGATAATGCCCTGAGTATTAATTGTTTGCTTAGAAATGCCTCAAATTTTCAAGAAATAACAAAGTATCAAAATGATTTTGGCGGGTCACGCTGAACACTGCCATTTGTAATGTACATAGGCGATGGTTTGCTACTGGGTATTATAACATTACAACAGGTCATTCGTATGTTACTACGTATGTTAGTAAGTGTTTAGAGACGTCTTACGAGATTCCCAAACCCCTCTCATAACTTAAGATTAGATCGAAAATAACACAGATTACACAAAGAATTGGATTAAGTGATATTATATTCTATATTTAATGAGTAAAAGTGTTGTGTTTTAAACTTACTTATAATCGCACTTGAATGATGAACTAAAACACATATTTACAACATGGGCGTTTTGTTTTCTTGTTTTGAAGCGTTCATTGCGTCAGAGCAAATCAAAGCAGCCAATCAGAGGAAGCCCTTAAGCGCACTTTTGCCGCGTAAGGGTATACAAAAATTAGAACGCCCCCGCCGTGTGCAGCAGGGAGA